GTTTCCTTAACCAGTGTTTTACGTTCTGCCTGAGCCGTTTTGGCTGGAACAGTCGGAGGACTGAGGAGACTCTTCAGCCTGTGATCAAGCAGCTCAACACACAACAGGTAACTGAGACAGGTGTCAACCGGTGATTCACAACTTTTATCCAAAGGGACACTTTTGTAATAAATTGCCAGGGGTTATGTAGAAAACTACTGCTAATTAACTCAAGTAAACCCGTATAAAAATATACCAAAAAAAGTAACTGTTACATTGAATAAACTGATAAAATTGGCACCTAAAGGTAATGGAAACGGTTGAACTACTTGGCAATAGCTAAAAGTAATGGATAAATGGTGTAAATGTCCATGTTCTGCCATTTTAAGTTGTAGTAGTGCAAATAGAAACGTGAGCAAAGCAGCCTCAACATTGACAATCTTCTGAAAAAAAATATTGTAACAATATCCACATTTATAGACTGTGTTGAATAACAATTTGTAATCCATTCATGAGAGCATATATGGAACATGATAGGTGGTGCCCATAAAGAGGTATTTGAGCTCATCTGATAGATCTGCAGGGTTACATCAGACCAAAAAGTTTGGTAACCACTGCTGTCAGAAGTTACAGTAGATGGCTGCAACACTGTAGCATCTTCTTTGCCTAGTAAGCTCACTTACTAGCATCCCTGTCTCTTTTTCTCAGGCACACTTTCTTTAGTCTTTCTTTGGTCTCTAGTTTGATTGTGTAAAATTTAAAAAGTTGGTAATTAAGGGAATGAAACCACTTTGTAGTCTTACATCTTATCTCTCATTGGTCTGGTTTAGACCCAGCTGCGGATCGATTCGTTCTTCCGCATGGAGCAGCAGGAAAAGCAGGCGATCCGCAGCCAGCGACTCCGCCGAGCAGTCACCTGCATGAAGAGAAAGGAGAGGGAAGGAGGAGAGGAGGAAGAGGAGGACAGTGAGGAGGAAATGCCATCCCCATCCAAATCTAAGAAAGGGAAGGCAGCAAGCAAGAGTCCAAAGAAAGGAGGAGGAGGAGAGAGGGAAGAGGAGAGGTCTGCGGCAGGAGGAGGGTTTCTGGGATCGGAGGTTATTGTTGAACCTCCTCTTACGTCTCTGAAGGAAGTGAGCAGCACGAGCCAGGAGCCTCTCTCAGTGAAGATCCCACAATCTGCTCAGACTTTATCTCAGAGGGCCAGCAGGAGCAGCAGCACCTCTGATGAGGACAGCGATGGCGGCGGTGAAGTTGCTATGGTTACAGCCCGATCTGTGTTCGAGGGCAGCCGACGAGGCCGCGGAACGAAAAGCGCAAGAGGGAGAGGAAGCGTGAGAGGAAAGGGAAGGGGGAAGAAGCTGTGAGGAAAAAAAAAATCTGAACTTCAAACGTAATATTAATTGCAACAGTGTAAAAAATGTCACACACTCCCAAATAATGCCTGTGATATAATACTTGATCGTTATAAGGTAAATTAATAATTCACTCATTCATGAATTGAGTATTGGTGTAAAAATTATTTTCTGTTTTATAGGATATGTATTTTGTATAACTGTGACTGATAATATCTGTGAGAGAACTGACAATATTTTGCATTAAATGTTTAAAAGTGCAGTTGAAGTATTTCCAAAGGGATGTCAGTTTGGCTCAGATTCGGTCATTTGTCCTGCTGATGTGAGACAGACAGGTGCAGGTCTTCAGCATCACACTTAAATTTCCTTGAGGTTGTATTTCAGTCGCCTTCTGTTTCTGCATACACTCCCCCTCTTCCTCCTTCTCCCTTTAACACACACAAACACAACAGCTTTTGTACATGTGAAAGCAACTCTGGTGTTTCTGAATAAATACCTGACATTTCAATCTCTTGCAAGTTCTAATTTGACTGGTGGCTTGTGAAATTGAGGATACATTACTCTTCTTCGTTACTGTGCAGCTCCAGTTCAGCAGACGGACAGGGCAGCTGTTGCTGTCCGTCAGTTTTACTGCATTAGAGAGGGGCTCAAGCACGCCCAGAGAGAGCTAGCAATGGGGTGGAGTTGAGGGTCGGGGTGTGGTGGTTGGACAAGAGGTTGGAAAATATTGCATTTGTGTGTAACTTAAAACCATAAAAGGTGACAGCCTGCTAGAGATCTGGATCCAGATTGACCTAAATTCAAAGAACTTAATCTGGGACCACAAACCAAGAGCAACAGTTGGCTGTTAGACTTTTTCTGTTTTGGCCATTTTTGCCCTCGTGCTTGGACTCCTTCAGACAAGGAGACTCAACAGTCCAAGGCCATGGAGGACTCCAACACCAAAGAAGAAGGTGAGAATTTGGAAAACAGAAAACAGAAAAGATTTTTCTTTTTAATGTCAGAATCAATAATTAAGTTGTTTTATTAGAACAAGCAAACACTCAGAGGTAGTATGCATGCATAGTAAAATGTAAATCTCTTAAAGTATGACTTTAATGTGACAGCTTGCAATATTTATTCACTGCTAATAACTACATCTGTGCTTGTTAATGACTAATGTATAAAGTATTTATACACACACAAAAGCTATAAATCAGCTCCTGAGCACTCCCTGACCTCACTCGACCTTTTTATTGTGGCTCTGTGGGCTCCCCTGACCTTTTCTCCAAACCAGTGTGACATAACTGAAGTTGTGTGTCAGATGCTTTTGTAACTGTTAGCACTGACACATAGTTGGAGTCTGGCACACTGGCATGACGTTACAAACAAACAGCAGGATCAGAGGGGCATTATGAGCCTTAATGTGATTCATTTATAGAGCAGAGAATCAAATGTTGCCTGTAATGTGATATGAAAGAAAAACAACCTGATTACTCATCTGCTTGATAATAGAAACACCTACCAATACTGTACAGTAGCCCTGCAGTCTTACCATGTTGTGTTCCTTTCTGACATTTTGAGAGCATAGGTGGTGCAGTTGTTAAAGGATTGGTTCACCCAAATTACAAAAAAATATGTTTTCTTACTCCAGCCAGTCAGGTAAGTGTCATTTTGCCAAGTTTAAAATATTTGTCAATGAGATTTCTGTTTTCACTCCTTTACACTGGAGGAAAATAAAATTTTGCTTCATGCTCACACAGAATTGCATTAAAAAAAACGTCTTTCCCATTAATCCGGAGTATTCATTGTGCTCACTGTAAATGTCATGGGATGGCCAGAAGGTGGCATGGAGACTTTAAGGGGAGGCAGAAATATAGACTGATTTAATCACAAACAATTTTTTTAACTAAAAAAAACATTATTGAGGCACATTAGTAATGCACTGAATAGAAATATCTAAAGGTGGCAGAGAAATCAATAAATTTATTTATTTCCAAATACGTCTCTTAACTCTAGCTTAAGCCTATTACTTAGTCTAAAATGTGGCCATAACAGATCATTAAATTAATATTTGTTTATAACACTTTATTTAATTAATGTGTTAAATTGTACAGTATTTGAAACCAAGCTGGGGTGGCCACTCCATGCCGCCCCACCAAATCTGCCCCCCCTCTGCACTTTACAAGTGGAACAGTCCAAGACTATGACGTCCAAATGTATGCTGTGAATTTGTCAATTCTGTTTTATTCTATATATATATATATATATATATATATATTTAAAACAACACCTGTCTCTCCTGTGGCTGTCAAAGCAGGTGCTGCGGAGGATGTAGAGCTGGCCAAAGCCATAATGTCCCGAAATTTCCGCCCCTCTGTCATTGGCCCGGAGTCCTGGGAGGGATACGTCTTCTCTGATATGGAGATCCGTATCAAAGAGTCCACAGACCTCTATGGAGCCGTACTCTGGCCCTCGGTACACCAGAAACCTACACATTATCTCAATATTCAGCTGCACTTCGTCTTTATTTTGACCCCTACCAGTGAACTGTGAACTTGTGTCCCCCAACAGGCGATGGTGTTGTGTCATTTCTTAGAGACCAACCGAGACAAATACAACCTGACAGACAAAAATGTGATCGAATTGGGTGCTGGAACTGGGCTCGTCACCATTGTATCCAGCCTGTTAGGTACGGAAACAAAACAATCCACTGATGAGCTTTAGTGGTTTGAACTTGAACTGATTTTAAGTCTCTTTGACTCACTCACTCTCTCTGTTGCTGTTTGTATCTCATCCCCTTTAACACTCAGCCGCATTGTCACACTCTCCAGGTGCTATGGTGACCTCCACTGACCTACCGGATTTGTTGGGGAACCTCCAGTACAATGTTATGCGCAACACCAAGGGCCGATGCAAGTATACCCCTCTGGTAGGTTTTTATATTTAGATTTCATACTGTCGGGTAAATAACGTCCGAAATATAGTCAAAAATGTCGAATTGTTTTTGTTTTTCTTGGTGCACATTTGGGTCATGGACCAAATGCAGAATCTACTTTGTCATTCCATGATATTTCCAGTGCAGCTAATACCAAAGATTCATGCTATAAAAAAACCTAAGAGTATGCATAAGTGGACATTTCTTTTAAAAAAACAAACATTTGGAAATAAACGATAGAATAAATTGACTTAATACTGTTAAATCAGCCCTAAATGATCTCTGTTTCTAGGTCACAGAGCTTATCTGGGGTCAGGATGTGGAGCAGCGCTTCCCACATGCCACAAATTGTTTTGACTACATCTTGGCAGCTGACGTGGTGTACTCCCATCCATACCTTGAAGAGCTGATGGACACCTTTGACCACCTGTGCCAGGAAAACACAGAGATTCTTTGGGCCATGCGCTTTCGTCTGGACCCAGAGAACAGCTTTGTGGATCGCTTTCGGCAGCGCTTCCAGCTGGAGGAGCTGTACAACCTCCCCAGTCTGAGAATCAAATTGTACCGAGCCTGGAGGAAGGACAGGAGGACAAAGGACCAAGGAGAAGCTGCTGCCTGAACTGTTAAACAGACAGAGAACACACGATGAATTATTGTTTCTGTAATGCGTTTTTAATGCACAAATATCAAACAATATGAAGCTGTGAATCACATTTTTACAAATTTTATTATTTACAGTGTTTGCTGGTCTAGTAGAGACATTTCAATGTAATTTATTGCAGGACTGTTGTTTTGTATTTCATTTAGGTGAACTTTAATAAACTGGCAACTCCATATGCCTGGATACACTCCAGTCTTTTTTTTTTTTAAACTGGTTGTCATCCATCAGCAGCACGTTCTCACACTCGAGATCTTGGCTGACTATGTTGTTTTGGTCCAGTCAGCTTACAGCACTGACAGTCTGGGCAAACATGGCTCTGGATTTTTCCAGTGGATTTCTGATGACCTTGTGGATTTTATTTAGGAGGCGTTCTGCTGTGGGGCTTCACATGGACAATGTGATCAGGTTTTATGGAACAGTTGGAACCGTCAGCGATGACTCTCTTAGGAAGAATCCTCTGAGGAAAACAAATGACTGGACCCGGTAACGTTAGTCAGCAGCAAACACAGCTAAGCTTTAACGTAAAACTGAGGCTGGTGAAAGTTTAGCCAGGTCTGACAAAGTAGAGCTGAGCCTGATAAGCAAAGACAAATATATGACAAAATGAGAGGTGTCACTTGTAGTGATGAACCTACCGAGAATCTGTACCCAAATATTCAGCTCCCCTCTGTTTTATAGTGAGTTTCAGCTCATTGTTTAGCTGTCTGGCCCGCAACTTTACTGTTATGATTCACTGTCACCGCTCTCATAGTGTTGTTTTTAGAACAGAGCTCTGGTAAATCTACTGTACACTACCTGCTCAGCACCAAACAGCAGTCGGACACAGGTGGTGAGTTGGTGGAGACCAAAAACAGAGCTGAAAGTGTTCATCAGGTGGCCAGAAAAACAACTCCAAATAAATGCTAATGTTGCTCAGTAGCTGCTGGATGTGTAGATAAGCAACTGTTTGCTAATGAGTTAACCATATCAATTTAAAGAACCAGTGTGTGCCGAAGGCTGAGTCCTTACAACTTACAACTGCAGGTTTATTGCAGGTTTAATATTAAAGCCTCAGAATACTGTTGTTTTATTTACCAGAAACTGTTCTACTGTGAACTCTAAGCATCTGCAACATCCTAACATCAAAGTAAAACATGACATGACATGATTTTTAAACAATTAATGTTTATTAATGGTAATCACACTTTATAGTGGGGTCAGTAAATTATTTTTAGACTTTTAGACAATGTCTATCACCTCTGCATGATGTGACATGCATTACGTCCCACACATTGCACATTTAAAAGTCATTATAAAGAACGTCTTATATTAAGAAAACCAACAATTTGCAAATTCAATAAATACATAATTTCTTTGCAAAATACAGAACGTTTTTATTGTCGATGTTGCTTTTTTATGTTTACACTTAGATGAGGCCTCTTTATGTGAAATGTCAGCAGCAAAAGACTCAATTTAAAGGTCAAATTAAAGATCACATCCATAATGGGCAGTGTGTGCTGCTTCAGCAACATGAACACCAGTGTGTCTCACACAAATGTTGCGTGTTTTGGAAACTCAGCAGTTAGCTTGATTATCTTGGAAAGAGTAACTTAGGGCGGCATGCTAATAATGTGACCTATTAAATCTGATATCTAATTTATGATTCCAAATCCTCCAACATTTTCTGCCCGAGTCATTCCTTATCTGTTCGCCAGTGTGATGGATATGTGTTGTTTGGCACAGTGAAAAGCTGGATTAAAGAGGAACAGAGAGGTTATCTAAGCTGATGTGTATCATTGTCAAGACAAACAAATACTCAACAGCTGAAAACTGTCTGTGGCCTTGTGGAGATATCCTTTAACTTTGTCACTCTTTCAACAGCCCGTTGATAACAAACCACCTTTCACTGAGAGATAGATGCTGTCTGTCATCAAGCTTAAAAACTCTTATCTTTTATCCAAACAAGGCTCTACAGCAACAACACAGTTGGGCAATGACTTCACCACTGTGTAACTCCCCCATTAACGGGTCAAACCACCCTGAGGTCCTGGATGGACTTCAAGTTTTGGGGATGTGCGTAGATTTAGATTGACGATACCTGAAACTGGCAGGTGATACTTCATGGTCAAAGGCTTTTCAAATGCAACTGAGGGAGGTCTTTTTGAGGTTTAGATTACAGGAGCCCCTTCTTTTCTTGAAGGGTTGATACACAGGGATGGCATGCCAGCCTGATCCTGTTACTGCCCATCTCTGGTTAAGCTATTGAGGCCATTGCAGGAAAAGCAAGCAAGTAAGCACAACATTGACACATTGCATGTGCATGTTACTGCATGTGTAATTTTGACCTAGACTCCACCTAATTTCATCTTCATTTATCTTTCTGATTAGAGTATTGCAAACAAAGTGACTGCAACTTATCAGTGATAAAAAAAACAGCTTAGGAGGCTTTTATGTTGTAAATGTTTTAATGTACACATTCAAAGGTACTAATTTTATATTATATTATATCCAGTATTACATTACAGACCGTGGAGGCTTCCAAGAAACACCAGCAGGGTAGTCCATATCCAAGACTGGAATCAAAGATCCATTGCTGTTGGTATCATGACATTCCTGTCATGCTCTTACTCATTTGGCCCTCTCACCAATCATCTTCGATGGTGTCGGAGTGTGTGTTTGTATCTACGTGCGCTCTGCTCTTGTATCTTGCTTGTGTGTATTTCTCCTGGGCACGGCTCTAAAAATACCCTCATGCCCTTGTGATGATGATGGGTGTGTCCAACAGGATGCTGAGTCTCTATAACCTTGCAGTCAGAGGTCTCCGGATGCAGTCAGACTGCTCCTGAGATCTTTCACTGGAAGATAAAGCAGCCAGCAGGTAGGTCAAAGGGTCACAGGTAGACCAAGTTTTCACTGTATTACTTTTACTTTTTTACAAAGATTTATGTTCATTGTGCTCTGTTTAAAGACTAATATGTGATGGTCACATTGGTCCCCGACTTGTTTTGTCTTATTTTGCTGGTTAGACTGTAGGACTGCAGTTTGATTTAAAAGAAAATAAGTAATTATATAAACACAGCAAAATTATGGAGAGAAAGGCTGAAATCACAGTAGCATATGAATACGCAAATTATCAAAATATATGAATGTTTACAATTTAGAAAAGAAAGATAACATTGTTAAAAAAAAGTTCAAAGCTCAATATCTAATGCCCTTGATTAATTTTCTCTATTTTCACATGCCTAACTGATACACCTGTCTGTCCAACAGTACACAGAATTTTATATGGATACTTTGCCCCCACGCTCTGTGGCGGAAACCGGTTATATGAGAGGCGAAGAGGAGGACAAGGAAGATGAGGAGGAGGAGGGAGAGGAGGAAGATTGGGATAAAGACGATAAAGAAGAAGAAAAAAGTAAGATGAACTGTGCAATAAAAAGCAGGACGTTTCTAAAGTCACACTGAGCAGAGTCTTGTGTCGATTCAGACCACAGAAATCTGACACTTTTGTATCATTTAGATGAATCAGCTGTCCAGAAGCAAAAAAACCCTGCCTGGGCTCCATGTTTCTACTACAAATTGGATAAAGAGGTCTACCAGTATGTCGGGCAGGAGATCGTCATAGAAGAAGGTCTTGACTCCTATGCAGGCATGATATGGCCGGCAGTGAGTAGCACCTTTTTTGACATACAGTGTGTGTTAGTGTCCGTTCTGGATTCTGGGGTTGTCGTATATCAGCATGCTGCTGTCTCCACTCTGAGGCCCCTAGACTATATTTACCTCTGCCCTCAGGCCTGTCTGAGATATTTAATAACCACTGGAACTAATTTTTAATCTACAAAGATCCATCTAATATCTTACTTTTGCTACTCAGGCATATACTTCATACATTCTTATCTGGTCCAGTGATGCTTGAGGAGCCACAAACCTTACCTCCTATACATACACATACCTCTCTGTTCCTCATACTCATCTTGACTGCCCCCAGGCTCTGGCTCTCTGCCACTACCTGGACACCCATCGTGAACAGCTCAGTCTTGTGGACAAGGCAGTCCTGGAGATCGGTGCAGGAACTGGCCTCGTGTCTGTCGTAGCAGCGCTCCTCGGTAAGAGGTTTACTTTCATTCAAAAAAAAAAAAACAGAAACAAAGAAGAGGTGTGGGGGTAAAGAATAACAAACAATTCTGGGTCACACATTGAGTCAAAAAAAGCACACACAAATAAATAAAAATAGAGATAGAACATGTACTAGCTTGTATAGGTTTCAACAACAGGCCTATGGCACGGTCATGCTAGTATGAGAATGTACCAGTATGTCAGTATACATGCATGTGTGCTTTAGGTAATTCAAGGTAGTTCTCCCCAGTGTGTAGCATTAGGGCCCATCAGTTCCATTAACTTGAGAGGTTATTATTGTGAAAAAGATGTGAATTTTTGATGGTTTTTCTGACTGTCCTCAGGTGCCTGGGTGACAGCCACAGACCTTCCAGTGGTCCTGAACAACCTGAGAGTCAACCTGTCCAGGAACACCAGGGGGCGTTGCAGACACACGCCCAAGTTGGCGGCTCTGTCCTGGGGCTACGACCTGGAGCACACCTACCCTTCATCAGTGTATCATTACGACTACGTGCTGGCAGCTGATGTGGTCTACCATCACGACTTCCTGGACGAGCTCCTGGTCACCATGAAGCACTTCTGCAAACCAGGAACGACTCTGATCTGGGCCAACAAGGTCAGGTTTGAGACTGATCTGACTTTCACTGAGAACTTTAAAAAGGCATTTCACACAAGCCTGCTGGCTGAAGACGGAGATATGAAGATCTTCATGGCAACGTGTAGAGAGTGAGAGACAGAGAAGATGTAGATGGATAACTCTAAGTCTAATTCTAAGTTTACGTAACAATTTGTTAAGCCATTTAAATGTGTTTGACAGTTTCTCTTTAAATGTGTCTGAGTTTCTCAGCTTCAAGAAAGTTGAACCTGCCTCACAGGTTTCTTTTGATGATTTCCTGCAAACTTTTGTTTATGAATTTATAAAAGATCAAGAGTGTTAGTTTGGTTCTATAGTGGCTAGAAGATTTAAAAGTAAAGGTTTACACAGCCTCTCTTCATCTCCAGCATGAACAAAATACTGAATGTCGGTTGCAATTTTGCAGTTTTCTTCAGTACTATTAGTTATGATTAACCTGGAAAATATCAATATTTCTCTGTCCATTGGTGGTCTGGGGGTTTATTGCTGTTGTGTAGAAAGAAGAGCTTTTTACCTCTATGTTCATCAGGGCCTGATAATCTCATCTCATAATCTGTCCATCAGAAGAGAGTTGGTGGTTATTCCCTGCTGGCTTCATGTATGTACAGATTTAAAACATAAAATGCTCATATTTAAACTCTTTATTATTCACTGTTTACAACTGTGAGAACTACAGGGGTTGCCTCCTGTAGAGGCAGTACAAAATGAATTTTAGCTTAGCTGTTGTCTTTTCATTTATTGAGAATATGATGGTCTTTTTCACTCCATGTTATCCACGTCTGATACCATGTTTACTACCTTATGGCGCACCATATTTAGCCTAAAAAAAGCCTGTGCTACATAAGGTTCAATAGTAGTTCATTAAAATCACATCAATTATCTCTGTGTGGGAGTGAAACAATTAGTTAATGAATTATAGTCAAGTAGACATTTGTTTTTTCAATTTTTAAGATCAAATGCCAAAACATTTGGTGGTTCCAGCTTCTGAAATGTGAGGATTTAATGCTTTTCTTTACCATATGTGACAGTAACCTAAATATCTATTTTTTTGGACTACTAATGGATAAACCATATTAATAGATGTAATTTTCGAATTTTCTTTTTTACTAGTTTAATATTTTAAAGATAACAATTTATCAGTGAATAAAGAAAACTCATGTATTACATAGATTTGCAGCCATTGCACAGTATGACGTCTTGTTTTTTTAGCGTGTGAACTGTATTTTTTACACGTTTAATAAAAAAATGAATGAAAACCCTTTATCTATTAAGTTATTCTTGTACTTTACTTTGTCATTTCTGAACAAACTCTTGGCCAGCAATTGCAGATGTAGAGGGTGATATTTTAAAAAAACAAAAAAAACAACAACAAAAAAAAAACCACTCACTTGTAATTCTTCAAATGATGTGTAATTATTTTTTATAAAACAACCAAATTGCTGTACCAGTGATGACCAGGGCACACTTGAATTCTTCCAAATCATTTTTATTCAGTGTTGCTTTCCTTGTTTGTGACTTAACTCCACGTGACCACAAAATAGTGTGACAGTAGCTTGGGTCTTTCCAACATCATTGAGGAAGAATGGGTATAAAATAATACTAATAAGAGCATACAACCTTATCTCATAACATTCTGTAAAATATTGGCATTTACTAGATTTTATGACTATAAATATAAACACTCAACATCCAGAAGAAGCTTTTCTGAAATGTTTCCTGACACCAGCAGAGTGAGAACAGAGGTGCCAGAAATGGACGGTACAGTCCTGTTGTGATAGTTAAGGCCATTGGCAACGCGTACTGTAGACAGCTGAGCCCTGAACATAACATTTGTCTGAACCAAACACAGGAAAGAGGAGAGAAGTACAAAAAAAAGGAGGAGAAAACAAGATGTAAAAACGATGAGCACAAATTCAGTCAGAAACTAAACACAACTGACTCCAGAAAAACCCCTGCGCACTCGGAGAGGTCTGTGCTCAGGCCGCTGCAGTAAGTGCATACAAGGCTAAAAACAGAACCGCAAGGTGTTCTTACCCCTGGGTAAACAGGAGTTATGACCACTGATTTGTTGTGTATGTATGGTCGTCCCAGAAAAGATTATTTACTCCCATGAGGACGAAAAAGGCTTCGGCTTGAAAGCAGCTGCTTTTACATTCTTAAGCATGCACCTTCCACTTGTGAGAGAACTTAAAACAACACAGAGGAAAGATGACCAGTGGTTCTCAGACTGGGTGGTTCGATCATTTGGGGGAGAATCGATTTCCTTATTCTATTCAATATATTATTCTATTCAATTTACTTAATTTTCAGCCTTCATATGTCCTTTGACAATTAAACCAACTTAACAAATATCAGTCTTTGGTTACATTGATAGACAGGCTGTGACAGGAAATCACACCTCTTGTGTTACAGATCTGTAAACAAAGGTTGAGAATCACAGCTATAAAAGATAAAAAGTGAATATGTATGTCTTTGACATGGTCCTCTCATGCACTCATGCATGACAGAAACAGCCACGTCCTCGTTGTTACATGATTCAGGTGAGATATTTTAAAGGACCATACCAGTGTTTTTGCAAAGTTTAGCTCCTCAACTAAAAATCATGTATAGCTGACCATTACAAATGCATGTGGTGCAGATTATATTTTCAGTTGCATTTTTCCTACCAAATGAATGGCAAACGATGACTGCACAGTTTCTTATTTTTCCACAACATTAAAAAAAAAAAAAAAA